ATATATATATATATTAAATTTATTTCAATCATATTCATATTCATCTTTTATAAATATTTAATCAACATAAATATCAGATTAATGCTCCAAAATTTTTAGGATGGTGGTGTATAGCTTTCAAGTGATTGTTGGTGATGGCTACGACGGTGTTGGTTGCGGCGAAGGTTGTGGGCTGGAGATAGTTGTGATCGAGAGGGAGTTGTTGTGCTCGAATATGCATGAAGGCGTGATTTATGTTAGTTTTAACAAAAATAAATATATAAATAGGGTGAGGAGTAAGCCTCGTGCTAGCAATGCGAGGGGTGTCTCAAGGCGGGCCTCAGCTAAGCTGAGGCGCAAGCCTCATAAAAAAACTAGAGGGGTAAGCCTCGAGGAACTTTTCACTAGAATTGTGTTGAGACAGGCCTCAAAGCGAGCCTCGTATTGCGCAATTTTAAATAATGGTATCCATGCTCACCCACTTGGCTTTGCCTTCTTTTAATTATGATGGACTGGTTTGGTTGTACCGGTCCATCCGGTTCTTACACCTTAAAATGAGAAATGAATTTAAATTTTATTCATCATAAAATTTGGGACTTTGATGATTGGTCAGAGCACATGTTAGTATTTTGGATTTACAAAGAGATTTAAATTTTAAATAATTGAGTGATCACATTTTTTTCAAAACATGAGAGATTTGGTTGACTAGTGTTTAACCCTTGTAGCATCTTTAGATTCAAAAATAGGATTTCATTGTATTAATCGAAGTTCATGCGAGTGATTTTGACTTTATAAATAAGTTAGTGCTTTTCAAAATGATTGGCAGCTTAATAGAGCTGTCACAAGTTTTCGAGTGAGATAATTTTAGATCTATCATTTTTTAACCAACATAGCATTATCAAATCTCAAATTTAAGAATTTGATGCGTTGGTCCTTAGGTAAACAATCATTTCTTCAAGGATCTTAGGATCAAAAGAAAAGCTATGCACAATATTGTGAATGTGAAGAGGAGGCAAATCGGTGTCCTAATTGCAATCCCTTCCCCCTTGTTGAGCAAGCGAGAAGGTTGAGCAATAGGTGCAAACTAGGTGTATGAGTGATAGGAAACACTTGGATTCCCAAGTGTTTCTCACCAAAACTGAAGTAGATCCGATGGAAACTGCTGTCCACAGCAGAAAAACAGCAAAAATACGAGAAAAACTGAGAGGAAACGAGGAGAAATCGTAGGAAAACGAAGCAAACACTTTTATTCCACTAGACGATGAAAAGCACTTGCAAGATACAACTTTCCTTCAATTCGAGAGGAAGGAAAAACTCTCCAAAGATCTCCGGTAAAGCCAAGAGCCCAAGAACACCAAACCCTAGATCTCCCAACAATTCAAATTCAAGATAATCCTCCCCTTTCCTCCTAATATCCTAATTAACCATAAAGGAGTTTTATAAAATGTCTAAATAACCCATCGCATTCAAAATTTCCCTCCCAAAACTCTTCCTTGGCCCCCGTCGGATTCACTCGTTCCGCTCAGTTCCGCCCGCCTTGCTCGGTTTCGCCTCCTGTAGGTGTGGACCGGTCCAGGTTGGACCAGTCCAGCCGGCCCCTCCTGGGCCGGCGTAACATTACCGTCCTCCCAAAGAATCACCTTGTCCTCAAGGTGAAAATCAGGAAACTGATGTTTCTTCCTCTCGTATGGCTCCCACGTGGTCTCGTAGTCAGGAAGATTCTTCCACTGGATCAACACTTCCTTAGTTTCATCTTCTTTCTGGCGAACACCCCTCAGCTCCAAGGGTTCCATGATCACCACTAGCTCCTCCGTAAGTATCGCCGGTAGCTCGGGAACGGTGATGTGTCACCGATGGCCTTTCTCAACTGTGAGACGTGAAAAACCAGGTGTATAGTCGCTGATGGGGTAATTTCAGTCGATATGCTACTGCTCCAATCTTTTCCATCACTTCATAAGGACCAAAGTACCTTAGAGCCAGCTTTTCATTCCTCCTGTTGGCGACTGTCTTCTTCCTGTAGGGACGGAGCTTCAAGAACACCTTCTCCCCTGCCTCAAACTGGATATCCTTTCTATGCCCATCTGCTTGTTTCTTCATGATTTGCTGCGCCCTCAGCAAGTGCCTCTTTAACTCCTCGAGCACTCGGTCCCTCTCCT